CAGGCAGGCCTTCCAATCTTTCCCCACAAGAAATCTCCTCTTCTTAGGAGCCCTTGAACACCCCCTAACAAGACTCTCCACCTGCTTCACAATACACACTCGGGATCCTATCAGGGAATCTAGCGCCTGTATCACTGGCTTACTGTCTTTAAAAGGGCATATCAAAAGAAGCTGGATTGAGGGCTGGAGAGATGGCTCAGAGGTTAAGAGCACCCGCTGCTCTTCCAGAGGACCTGAGTTTGATTCCCAGCAACCACATGGTGGCTCACAACCATCTGTAATGAGATCTCGTGTCCTCTTCTGACCTGCAGGAATATATGCAGGCAGAACACTGTATACAGAATAAATAAATAAATAAATAAATAAATAAATAAATAAATCTTTAAAAAAAAAGTTGGAGGCTAGCCTGGTCTCAAAAAAAAAAAAAAAAGTGTACTTCTAGCTTGGCGCATGCCTGTAATCCCAGCCCTCGGGAGGCAGAGGCAAGTGGATTGCTGTGAGTTCAAGGCTAGCCTGGTCTCCAGAGCGAGTGCCAGGATAGGCTAGAATAAATAAATAAATAAATAAATAAATAAATAAATAAATCTTTAAAAAAAAAGTTGGAGGCTAGCCTGGTCTCAAAAAAAAAAAAAAAAGGGTACTTCCTGGTTGTCGCATGCCTGTAATCCCAGCCCTCGGGAGGCAGAGGCAAGTGGATTGCTGTGAGTTCAAGGCTAGCCTGGTCTCCAGAGCGAGTGCCAGGATAGGCTCCGAAGCTACACAGAGAAACCCTGTCTTGAAAAACCAAAAACCAAAAAAGAACCACAACAACAAAAAAGACTAATGAGTCTCAAGAACAAGTTCAAAGATAAGGTGAAGGCTGGAATGAGAAGTGTGAGTGTCTTTCTAATTAAAGTGCCACAGTTCAATATCGGCTGTATGAAGGTCTCTTTGGGTTACAATGTCTGTATCATAAAGGAAATTCCTGGGTAACTGAAAATACTGTCAACCACAGTAGGGTCTGAATATACTGAGTATATTCATTTCAGGTTTGAAACTATCTCAAAAACTGTAAAATTAGAATCATGCTGATACTGTGTACTGAAGGTAAATAGAATAAAAATGGCAATGAAAACCAAAAGTGGGGCTGGGTGATGGCTCAGTGGTTAAGAACAAGTACTTCCCTTTGTAGAGGACCTGAATTTGGTTGCCAGCATCCACATTGGGGAGCTCACAACTTGAATTCCCGTGGGCATCTATACTCAAGTACACATATTCACACAGAGACACACGTAAAGGAAAAAACCCGCAAGGTTGGTATTGGGTACATATGGTTTGTTACATTACTTTCTTGACATTATCTATGAAAGTTTCTATAATAAAGTTTGCATTTATCCCCATATTCCTCATAATCATCACACCTGTATGATTTCAAGATCTTCTAATGCTTCTGTAAGCAACCCAATTAAACTCACTGAGTTGCCCCTCTCCAAAAGAAAAGAAAAAAAGATTTTTCCAATGGGCATTCCCCTCTAAGTTCATCATTCCTGTTGGTGCAGTGTTACTGCTTTCTTTAGCAGGCCCTGTAAAAGTACCTCCTACCTACTTGGTCTGGGCTGTGGAGTGCAGACACAAACATTCACTACAGGCTCCTATCAGTGCTTCGAGAACAGAAAACAAAAACAACCTTTTAAAATGTCTCCTTACTAAACACTCACAGCCTGCCATCCATCTTAACTATAGAAACTGTGGTCAAATCACCTGACTGTCTTCAGTTCAAGGTGATTGACGCCTCATCTTGGAATGCCTTCCTGTAGCATGTTAAACTTCTGGCCATCCTGTCCAGTTATCTACTCTTAACCAGAGGTTTGTCTCTAGATTTATGCTGAACAGTCTCCTGGACGAATTCCACATCACATCAAATTCCAAAATGCAACTGATCACCTTCACCAACGACTCCTTCACCTTACTTCAAATACCTCTCCCCTTTCCTACCCAGCATATCATTTCTATAAAAGGAACGAATCGTCTACGTCTTTATACTTAAGTCTCAATATTTTTAACTCTCTCAGTCCCACATCTAAGCAGATGCCTGTCCACTTTAAGTCTGCCAAATTCACCTCTCTGCCTTTGCCCGTGTACACAATAAGCATGGTGTTCCCTCAGGTATCACTCATTCAAGTGGTTAATGTTGGAGCCTTGTCTTTTACATTTATATTATACTAATGGTCTTTGTCTTAGATTTTGTTCTATTGCTGTGAAGAGACAACGTAACCACAGCACTCCTATAAAAGCAAGCATTTAATTGGGGCTGGCTTATAGTTTCAGTTTTAGACCATTTTCATCATGGCAGAGAACATGGAGGCTTGCAGGCAGACATGATGCTGAGAAATAGATGAGAGTTTTACATCTAGATCCACAAGCAGCAGAAAGGAGGAGCCACTGGGCCTGGCTTGGGAATTTGAAACCTCAAGGCCCACTCCCAGTGACACACTTCTTGCAACAAGGCCACACCCCCAAATCCTTCTCAAGTTGTGCCATCTAAATATATGTGCCTCTGAAAGCCATTCTTATTCAAACTACCACATCCCTATATTTCAAAATAAAGTCTCAGTTCTCCAACAGAACAAATCTGGCCAAGCTACTTTTCCCATCTACCTCCCCCTCCTTCCTCTACCTCCCTCAGCACTCTCCAATACATCCTGCCATAACATTTGAGTATCTCTTCTGATGTTCTTTTAGCCTCCTTAAACACCCTAGGAGTCCTGTTTTAGATCTAACTGTAGGTCAAAGTTTTGTTTAAATTCTATCTTCCCCATGGATTTTCTCACATCTTCATGGTCCCCCATCAAAGAGCATTCTGTCTTTTCTAAAGACCATTAACACTTTCCAACTCTAATACAATCATGACAGCATTTGATTTCTACATTGTCAGACACTGGTTAAGCACATGTCATACTATAGTGCACATCCTAAAAATTCATGCCCTATACTAAATTATCTTTCCTTCCACAAGTAATGTTGACAAAAGGACTGACATAAAATAAATCTATAATAAATAAATATCCTCTAATTTCATTTAAAGTTATATGGCATTTTTTATTTGCACAGAATTTTTAGTACCTCAAAAGTGGCACAGACAAGATTATTAATACGTAGTCATATTATTGTATGACTTTATGAATATTACACAGGTGTTTGGAATACACAAAATTTCCCAAATTGCCTTAAAAATGAGTTACTAACTACTGAAAAATGGTCTTCCTAGGGTATATATCAGTAGAGAGAATAAAACTAGAGCTGGTCTGCTATGGCTCTGGTGGGAACACAGCTGATTTCCTATTTTAAATACAGCACTTTGTATCAGCAGAGAAAACTGTTTTTCAGGCCCTCATGGGTTATAAGAAATTCAGCAATTCAAGTAAAGGAAGTAACATATTATTCAATTACATTAGTTACTATTTACTGAGCACTTACAACCATGTTAGATTCTATTCTAAGCATTGATGAATAATCTTATTTAACTTTGATAAATTCTATGCAACAGGGACACTTAAAAAATTAGACATATGGGCTGGAGAGATGGCTCAGCCGTTAAGAGAACTCACTGGCTGCTCTTCCAGAGGTCCTGAGTTCAATTCCCAGCAACCATATGGTGGCTCAGAACCATCTATAATGAGATCTGGTGCCCTCTTCTGGTATGCAGGCATACATGCAGGAATGTATACATAATAAATAAATCTCTTTTAAAAAATTAGACATATAACGAAGATCACATTATTTTTTTTCCTTATTGTGGTCTGTGGATCCAGCGAGGGTTCAAGGCTGCCAAGGTTGCTGCTGAGCCCTTGGTGTGTTGAGACAGGGTCTCTCTACATAGCTCAGGCTAGCCTTGATCTTGCTACACAGTCTCATGATTCCCCTTCCTCAGTCTCCCAAATGTCTTCCATATCACACACTTTTACATTCATTTTGTTAACATGTTTTAGAATTTCATACATGAGTGTTGTACTTACAACATCTCCACCCCTCTTGTCTCCTACAACTCTTCCATGCTCCCCATTCCCTCTCAAATTCATGACCTTTCCTTCTTTAATTACAAAGGAGTGGAAGGTGTGCTTGTGAGGGGGCAGTTATACACAAATGGTGATCTAGGAGTCCAGTGATGTAACTCCTCTTCCATTAACCAGATTAACATCACTGAGTCTCACACTTGTCATTGATTGAGTGCTCTTCATACTACTACTTGTAACAAACTATAAAAATGATCCCTGAAAGCACAGTCTTTGTACTACTACTTGTAAGAGTCAAATACACTAATGCATGTGGCCATAAGACAGGAAAGAGCAATGGAGCTTGAGCTCAAGGACCCTGGATTCTAGTCTCTGCTTTGATCTTTACTCATCATGAGACTTTGTCAAATAAATCATATGGCTTCTTTGAGTCACTCTGAGTTGCTACTGATTGCCAGACATTCTACTAGGGTTAGCAGCAGAAAGCAAAGATGGTTTCTGTACAATCCACACACAACACAGGATCTGAGCTATAGATGGAAAGGGGGGAAACTATAGTGGAGTAGGGTAAGTGCTCAGATGTGGGGGAGGGGTATGTAAAGGCATCTAATCCAGATGTAGGGGTCAAGGAGTGACTCTCAAAGGAAATGATTCCTACACTGAGACTAAAGAAGTTGAGCAGGGGTTAGTCAGACAAGGAAGTGGAGACTTCCAGATAGAAGGAATGAGGTTCAAAAATGTGGGCATGGAGGGGAAATGTCAACAGTAGATTCTAGAAAACTTCACATTGGAAGGAATAATTAACATCAATAAGAAGCATACATGGGAGTACTTCCTAAATGGAGAGGAACCTTAGCTGTTTCAATAAACACTAACAATCAATTGTGTCAAGTGTGTCACCACAGCAAGCTACGTTAAGGGGCTGCCACATGGAAACAGAACCACTAGGGACAGAGAATGGTCATATTTCAAAATTTGATTTGAACCTAAAAAATCATAACTCAGTACCTTTCACATCCGGTCGATATTGCAGCCCATCATCTTTCTTTCCCAATAAACTTGTATCATCTGTGTCTGCAAGAAAAAGCAGTTGTCACGTTAATAAATACATGATGCTGAAGTCACACCAAAGGACTCACAATTACCCCAGCTGCTCTGCCTCCTTTTTAACTGTACACCTACCTTGCTCCTGCATTTTTTTTAACATTTTACTCTTCTAACTGGCAGAAATACATTTATCATATACAAAACAGTATTTTACATCTATAACACTGTGGGAAAGTTTCCACCATTCTCATCATCAGTGGTCCCTTTTCTGTCTCAGATCTCAAATAAGCCCAGGTAGATCTCTGCATGATGAATGGATTTCATTTGGACTTCAGCTCAAATGACACCTACTTTAAAAATCATTGCTGTGTAAACTAAAATAACATACACCCCTTGGAGAACCTCTCTCCAGGGAACCACTGAGCTCAAGATTTATCTTTTCCTACCGTGTTTTTCTGGAAACATGAGATTACAATCGATATGGGATCTCTGCTATATTGTCAAACAACATTAAGACCCTTTTCATGTGAACTGGATTGGACTGTAAAGACTATAGGGAACCATAATAAACACCTGCTGAGAGACACAGGCTTCCACCTCCAACACCCGGTGAGAGAGGCAATGGGAGGTAGTAGTTAGGTATGGATAGAAATTATTGAGAGGAATAAAATAAACTTAAGGCTCCGCCACTCCAAAGCTGTATAAATTTCAATTAAAACCCTCTGGCTTGCCCATTGCTCTGAACTGAATGTTCCAGGAAGGAATTCAAGCATTCAAGCATCCCACCTAAGGTCCAAATGTACTGCATGAAATAAACTAAACTGTACCCCAAGACACAAGCCAAGAGGAATGTCTACCTATGGGATCTCTCTGCTAGGAAATGGCTTCCTCCATTATGCCCACGCCTACCCTACCTGGAAAGCCTCTGAGGACCTTCTTGGATCTGGAAACTGCTCAAAACAGATATGGGAAGTGTGTCACAATTCATTACTAAGACAAAGTAACAAACTCACTTTTACAACCTTGTTGCACTGGCTCAAATAAAAGCACATGAGTTTAGTAAGCCCCCCACCCCTGCCACCACCATCACCAAGAACAAGGGTAAAAGAAATTGAACAGAGCGAAGCAGGACAGTTTAGAACTGATCCAGTACCCCATCCCACAGGGTATGGGGACAGAAGCCTAAGCCACTGCTTCAAAGACTGTTAACATTCATAGTAGGAGAAGAAAACCCATTCTTAGTTCATGTTTGCTAAATCATAATAAAAAGGAAGAAGGGCAAATGGAATTTTTCCTTTACATTCTGTAACTTTACACTAAAAACTATAATTGTATATAATGTGTGAGGGGCGGGGAAAACAAAGGCAACTATGTGAACACAAAGGTAACTACTATGCTATGAGGGAAAGTGAGAATATATACAGCAAATGTATAGTTTTACTATAATTGAAATAATCTAACTTCTAGCTCTAACTGAATTTGAGATCACCTTAGAACTATAAATACATCTCACACTGATTCAAATACGCTCACATCAGGCAAGGATAAGTTTAGTAACCAACAAAGGCACATGGTTGATGTCTGGAGGGTGTGAAAACAAAATGTCTACACTATATCAGTTGAAGCTTTAAAATATATAGTAATAAGACCAAGCCTGAAGACTTACTCCTTTCAGGGTTAAGGTTAGAGTACCAATATGTGATATGCAAGACATGTTCCTGGTGGACAGAAGGGCTTTTACCTGTGCAGTGGCCAAGATGTCTTATGTCAATCTGTTCTTGCTTTATACAAGATGCTTCCCGAACAAAACAGGGATTGTTGTAGGAACTCCCGTCAGAAGCACACACTGGGTTAAAACTGTACCCACTGCAGTCTATATTACATACACACCTGTTGAGAAAGACAACAAAAGACACCTGTTGAGAAAGACAATAATGTCTGCATTGGTCAAAGAAAGGATTCACAGTACAGCAAGAGCAAATAGTGACTCCTGTCTTTCTCACTGCCTTCTGTAACACAGTAGGAATGATACTATGTCATTAACCAATCTTCAGTGACTTGGATGCCCAACTAAAAATGTGTCTCAGGTATGTATTGAGAGTATGTTAACCCAGTCAGGAGTCCTTAGAATTTTCATTTTTAGATCAACTGTCAACATTAGTAATAATAATAATAAAAGACAGCACCATGGAAAGAGCACAGAAGAGTGGGTCACAGTTTGAATCAGCATTTTCCTCAAAGTCTTATTTTACCCACCTATGTAATAGATGATAATATACCTACACCAAACAGTTGAGACAATTAAAAAGATAAGTATGAAGTATGCAGAAAGTGCTTTCCAGCAATACATCAAGGGTTCACAGAATCCAGATCCCACAGCACAGAAGCTAGGCACACCAGGCCATGGAACTCCTCCCACCAAGTACAATGAAGCCTACCAGTGGGGATGATACACAGTCTCTAAGCAACAATTCACTGCCCTTCTACAGAAAACAAATGCTGGATAAAGCACTTTAAAACTTCCTCTTGGGCCAGTTACAGAAGCAAATAGATCTCCTCTAGAGAAGCCCAACTTCATCCTAGGTCTTTGTGATTCTCCACAACACAAAAATAAGAAAAATAAGCACCCTTCCAAACATTCATGCACCTGTAGGTGTGCCTGTGTGCCTGTGTGTGTGTGCACACTCACACAACACTTCAAAAGAACTAAACACAACTTCTATGAATAAACTAGTACTAGTAAAAACAAAGATTTCAATAGCCAGAGTTAACACATCACAAACTAAAGGAGAACTGGAGAAACACAAGGCAGAGAATCGCTGAGACCACAACAGAGGCACATATGAAAAACAGATTAAAAAACATAGACAAGAGTCAAAAGAGGTGGAATTAGGGCATGGCAATATACCTAGTAATTTAGCTTTAAGCTTTCTAAAAATAAAAACCGAAATTTATCTACATACCTAAAAATCCCAAGCAGAATCTTAAAGTGGACAATCTATGCCCTCTTCTGGACTCCACAGGCACCTGCACTCACACATGCACACACCCACACAGACACCATATACAATGAAAGACAGATATGTTAAGACCTAATGATATAAAAATTGAGAAAAGAAAATGAACAGCGAAAGAGATGCACTTGGTGTGGGTAGAGTTAACATCACATACAAAAGACTTCAGGACAAAAGGGATCATAATACAGAAGTTAGGAGGTTCCTTTGTAATACCAAATCATTTTATTAACAGGAAGATTGTCTAATGTTTCAGGATAGTCTCAAAATCTACAAAGCAAATATTGACAAGACTACTGAGAAGAATACATAGCTCAGTAACTCAAAATGCCAGTGAAAATGAAATCACTGTCTGTCACAGAGTGAGAGAGAGAGAGAGAGAGAGAGAGAGAGAGAGAGAGAGAGAGAGAGAGACTCAATACTGATATTTGCTTAAAATACTTCCCCAAAAAAAGTTAAGACGAGAAGAAAAGATGAAACAAACTTAGCCTTTTGAAGATGAATGATGGTATATGGGGAAGGGTCCTCTTTAATATTTTTTCCTTTTCTGTGTGTTTGAAGATTCCTTTAATTCCTGATACTCTACAAGCCAGATGTGAAAAGTAAAACTAAAGACTAAAGGATTTGGAACATTAAAGAAAAAAAAAAAAAACACTGGCAAATCTGACTTTGAAATAAAAAATTGATAACTATATCTCATATAACCAACAAAAAATAAGTATCCAGAACACATAAATATAAACCAGCTTCTTAAAGGATATATAGTTGATGGGAAGGAGGGAAGAGAAAACAAAAACACAAGATTATAAAGATGTGTAACCTAACAGGGTTTATTATTAATAACCATGAAGTTGGGAAGTAAGGCCACAATCACAATATCAAAGTCACGAGTTGATAAAAATGAAAACTGTATCAAGCATAGTAGAGGATGAGGAACAGGTGCTGGTGTGAGAGCCTATTGGAATAACCACCTTGGGAACTACTCATTCCCATGAATAGCTAGACTTGTATTTGTTCAACAATGTCACAATTCAGTGGATTTCAAAGTCTCTTACAGGTGTGCACCAGGAGACATTAAATACACAGCGGTTTTTCATGAGAAGACTGTAAGTGACCCAAATGACAACCTGAGATAAAATAGGGCCATAAAAAGATGTGGTACCATCAATCAAATTCGACACAATGAAAATGAATGGACTCCAGCTATGCAGAGTGCCCTAAATGAATCTCAAAAGCACTACTATTACATACAAAAGGTCAAGAATACATGTGTTATTTTGTCAACTTGATACAAGTCTCTGGGTCATCTGGACCCAGACAGGCCCATAGACAAGTCTGTGGAGCATTTTGTTGGTTAGAAATTGATGTGGGAGGACTCAAGGAAAGCCCAGCCAGCTATAGGCAGTACCACCCATGAGCAGGTCTTGGGTATATAAAAAAAGCAAGCTAAGCAAACCATGGGGAGTAAGCTGAGGCAGGAGCAGCACTCCTCTGTGGTCTCTGCTTCAGCTCCTGCCTCAGCTTCCTTCGATGATGGGCTGTGATAAAGACATGTAAAAGCTAAATAAATTAAACCCTTTCTTCCCCAAGGTACTTTTGGTCGTGGTGTTTATCACATCAATGGAAAGCAAGCTAGGACAATGCACATAGCATAAAAATGCACACAGTTTAAAAAAAATAATAACTGGAAACGGTGGGAGAGATGGCTCAATGGCTAAGAACACTGTCTGACCTTCCAGAGAACCTGGGTTCTACTCCTAGCACATACATGGTGGCTCACAGCCACCTATAACTCCAGTACCAGGGGATCTGATGCCCTCTTCTGCCTTCTGTAGGCACTGCACGTATGTGGTACACAGACATACATGTAGGCAAAAACACCAATACACACAAAAATAAAAATTTAAAGAGGAAAACAGTAAATAAATAAACAGCAAAGTAATATATATTTTAAGAGATATACCACATAGACTAAAATTATAAAGAAATCAAGGGAACATTTTACACATAAAGCAGGCTTTCAAGTAAATGGAAGAGTCAAAGGGAAGCTTGCAGTACTAGTAAATGTTACAGCTTGAATAGAAGGGATCTTCAAAACACTGTGTGTGAAGCCTTGGTTCCTAGTACAGTGGAATTCAGATTCATAATTTGACAGCACTACTGGGTTTCAGTGGGAGTTAGGAAGTAGGGACCATGTGGACCTTGTCCCTATCCCTTCCTGTCTCTCTGCTTCTCATCTACTGTAAGGTGAACTGCTCAGCTTCATTATGCCCTATCTGCCTGCTACTCACGTTCCCATAGCAACAGGGCCAAGTGACCATGAACTTCAACCTCTGAAGTAGTGAGCAAACAAAGCTTTCTAAGGTTTCTTTTCTCTGGTATTTTATCAGCCATGAGAGCAACACTGTAAATCTCTATTCCTTGGTTGGGAGGGAAAAGTCACAAAAGCTTGTTTTATTTTTGTGCTACTCCAAGTATATAAGCCTTCTTGAGAGAAAAAGGAAAAAATAAACTTATAAGAACAACATTGATGGCTGGACGTTGGTGGTTTATGCCTTTAATCCCAGCACTCTGGAGGCAGAGGCAGGCGGAACTGGCCAGCCTGGTGTACAGACTGAGTTCCAGGACAAGCTCCAAAGCTACACAGAGAAACCCTGTCTTGAAAAGCCAAAAAATAAAAGAAAAAGAAAAAAAGAAAATCACTAACAAGTAAAACAATAAATCTTGTTATTATTTAATTAAATTGAAATTAGTAATTATTCAATTTCTAGAATACAGAAGTTGGGAGAAGAACCAAAGACTGTGCCTAGAAGGTTAGCTAGCTAATCAGCAAAGGTTGAGTTGAGATGAGAAGAGGTACAGAAAAATCCAGAGAACTACTACCAACTTTCAAGAGTGAAAACATTTGCACAATCATTTAGCTCTCTATTTCTCCTCCCTCTCTCTCTTCTTTTCCTTCCCATCTCACTCTCCCTCCCTCACTCTTGCATCCAATGCAGGGTCCCCCAGATCAAGATCTAATATGCTGTTCACACAGCCTACCAGTGCACTTGTAGTGATGGACAGCTTCATATCTCACCAGGCATACATTTCATGGTTGACTAGTTTCTCCCCCAGAATGGGCCCAAAAACTGCATGCCAATTTCTTCCCCCTATTGATATGGTTTGATTATGAAGTGACCTCCTGTGTTAAATGCTTGATCCCCAGATAATGGCACTATTTTAGATTTGAGGAATTGGTATTAACTTTGGGTTTGTGTGACCTTGCTGGAGGAAGTGGGATACTGGAGGCATGCATGTGATGACTTTAGCTCCTTCTCTCTGCCACTGTCTCTCCCTCTGTCTCTCACCCCTTCCTGGATGTCATGAAGGGAACATGCTCCTCCTCCACACGATCCTGCCACCATGATTTTCTACCTCAGAACAAGAGGCTAGGCAACTGTGGGCTAAAATCTCTGGCACTGTTAAGCTATGCAAGCCTTTCCTTCTCTAAACTGCTCTCTGGAGTTTACATCACAACTACAGAAAAGCAATGGATATGATTGAGGCTACATGTAATAATCTCAAAATATCTTCCAAGAACACCCTGTACATATTCATAAATAATCATAGTACATATAAGTTCTCATTTCTGTAAACTGGATCTCAAGATTATTCATCACACACCAATGTGATGGTTTCTAATTTGTAACATTTTTGTAATAAAGTTTAAAACTTTTAAAAGATTATTCAAAGATCACTCATTACTGTAGTATCCAACATCCCATCCCCCCACCCAGATTCAGTATCTTATGAGGCCACAAACAAAGCATGCATACAACATAGAAATGATTACCTTAATTATTCTAGCTACTGTAAGTAAACACAGGGAAGACA